CCTAAAATAAATGTTAAGATGGATATAAAGATACCGTTAAAATGTATTGGTAAATATGACAGTAACCATCTAATTAACCTCTGGAAAATGTTAACATGTTTGGCTCACCTGAAGATCTTATTTCAGCTGAAGATGAAATTTAATTTTAGCCAATCGACGTATTACAATGTGCTGGTGAATCTTTTCTTTTTCAGATCAAGGAATGACGACAGATCTAACTTCAGTACAAAACCCTCTGTTATTGGTGTGGTGCAGTATGAGGTCATAAGTGAAGTATGTGAGAACAACAGACAACACAACCGTATTCCTTGAGGTCAATTTGAAGGTGTGGGTGGGTGTAGCCTGCTGTGGGTGGGTGTAGCCTGCTGTGGTGTCATTTAATGTTTTGTGAGGGTGTAGGTGGGTGTGACTTGTTGGTGGTCGCTTTAACTTTTTGTGTGGGGGTTGTGGGTGGGTATGGCTTCCTGTTGTGTCGTTTAATGTTGTGTGGGTGGGGGTGTGTAGTGTTGTGGTGGTGTCATATAACGTTTTGAGTGTAGGTGGGTTTAGCTTGTTGTGGGATCATTTACTGTTTTGAGAGGGTGTGGGGTATTGTATACTGTGTGTTTTTTTTTTGGAGGGGGGGGGGTGGACTGTGGTGGTGTATGGGATTGGATAGGGTTGTGTGTTCCCATACGAAGGAATTGTACACGAGGTGGGCAGGTGGTTGTGGTGAAGTTTGTCATTCAAACCAAGTGTAACCAAGCTGTCGAGGGTGACACTTAAGGGGGCATGAGGGAGGGAAGGTCTGGTAAGAGAGCTGTAGTAAACCTTGTGTATAGAGCACGAAGCAGTGTAGAGATGTGTATTACAGTAGAGTGTAGCAGTACTGTATTGGTGAGAAGTAATTTGAGTAAACTAATGTGGATGTAATGATGTAAGTAAACAGTTGGGGGACAGTTTAAGTACATGTGGTCTAGTGGTAGGTGGAAGTCGCAAGTTTAATTTTCATTCTGCATAAATTACAACTATAAACATGTTGCAGGTGACAGCTAATGTACTTGAAGGCCAATGGAGAAGTGACAGAACCTTGAGCAAGATTTGACGCCCAGCATGTTACTTAAGCCTCATCAGTTAAGTTACTTGTACAGTATATCTTATCTAGTATGGCCATCCAATAAACAACGCAACACTGCTCCTACATTGGGCAGTGGAGTGTGTGGATGACTGTTTGGGGCCTAATAAGTCTGTGTGTGGACCTAGTGATCAGTGTGGTGATCTGTGTATGGGGCTGGCAGACACTGTTGGGGGCGGTCCGACTAATTGCCCAAATGTAGCCGCAATGAAGTTAAATAATGGTCCTACATGAATAAATCGGACTGCTAATCACTTCTCGACTAGTATTTGGCGTCACAAAGTAAAAAAAAATGGAAAACGTAATTTAATCTGAGTTAATAGATCGCGTGCATGTACCGAGGGAGCGAGTAATTACCCAAATGTAGCCGCAATGAAGTCAAATGATGGTCCTACAAGCGTAAATCAGGCTGTGAATCACTTCTCAATTATTATTTGGTGTCATAAAAGTCACAAAAAATTGGTAAACTTAATTTAATCTGAGTTGTTGTTAGGTTAGGTACATGCACTCGATCAATGAACTCAGATTAAATTAAGTTTACCAATTTTTTGTGACTTCGTGACACCAAATACTAGTCTAGGTTAGGTTAGGTTAGGTACATGCACTCGATCTATTAACTCGGATTAAATTAAGTTTACCAATTTTTTGTGAGTTCGTGACACCAAATACTAGTCGAGAAGTGATTGGCATTCCGATTTATTCATGTAGGACCATTATTTGACTTCATTGCGGCTACATTTGGGTAATTAGTCGGACCCGTTGGGGGGCTGTATGTGTTGGTGGGGTTGTGAAGGACTTTTGTGGACTGACCATAGACAGACTGATATTAGAGTAAAATTAATAGTTGTATTGACAGTATAAATATACAGGACTACATTCATATTAGAGAAAATTAGTACCTGTAGTAATACAGGTTGTACCTCTCTAGTCCGGCATTCTGTGGTCCGGAAACTCCTGTGGTCCGGAATGATTTTAGTTTGTTCAATAGGTAGATAGGCAGCTTGCTTTTTTTTTTTTTTTTTTTACTTATTTGAATGATTATTATTATTACAGGAGTATTAAATTTTGCCTCAGGCTATGTGGGTCAGTGACTTATGCCTGGGTGGGCTAATCCCCTTAAAAAAAAAAAGCCGCGGGAAATTACCGTAAGGTTTGTTTACCTACATCCGGCAGTTCGGCTAATCTCTCTCTCTCTCTCTCTCTGCTTGTCTATACAGAGTACAACATTTAACCCTTCAACCCTTTAACCCACGAAGCTCCTTGGTGTCACCATAGACAATAAACTAAATTGGAAACCACACGTCAGTGAAGTTGTCAAATCCTCCAGTTTCCGTCTCCACCTCCTCCGCCGACTCAAGTCCCTCGGAGTTCCTGCACCTGAGCTCCTCAGTGTTTACACAACATTCATACTTCCCAAGCTCACCTATGCCTCCCCCACCTGGTCTTCCTCCCTAAATGCCACACAACGTAAACACCTAGAAAAAGTGCAAAAGAGGGCATGCAAGATTATTCTCTCCCCTTCCTACTCCACATATCAAGAAGCACTCAACACACTGACCCTTTCGACTCTCACTGACCATCACCACGACCTCATCTGCAAATTTGGTAAGAAGCTTCTACACCATCCTCGACACCAGCTCCTACTACCACTTAAGATCCCTAGTCCGAGAATTGCTGTTCGACACCACAACCGCATCCAGCCCATACGTGCACGAACTGATCGCTATAAGAACTGCCCAGTCCCAACCATTGTAAAAATTATCAATGACTTGTAATAAACCAGTGTATTCACTCCCAGTAAACACTACTCCTTGCACTGTCACTTGAGCTTTTCCCCATCTAGTTATTATATGTCTTATTTCTGTCACTTATGTTACTTGTATATTATTTGTAATTCGAAACCCATTCCCCAAATATGTAACTGTATATTTTCGGCCTTCTGGCTGCCAAGCTCATTCAATAAACCGTTAATTATTATTATTATTATTATTATATATATGAGCAGTAAATAAGTGTTGCTTTCATATTCTTATGTCGAGTAATGACGATATGTTTTCACATGTGCGCACTTACATACGCTCAGTCTCACTTTTTTTTTACCATTAATGGTTAGCTACTTATATTGTTCCATTTATGAACATTAAATAACATTACAGGTACAGTACTTCAAACAACCATATTAATTTTTCTACATTAATTTTACTACAGCTAAAATCAGGGTCTTATTTTCTTCAGTTTTATATGTAGAACCAATCAGTCACTGGTTTTGTAAGCTTTAACATAAACAATGCCGGCAGCCGTCTCGTCTCCTCTAATATTCCACGTATTATTAATAAATTGTATTGTTAATTTTGCACACACAAACATTAATTCAATAAAAAGAAATTCAGAAACATTAATTAAAATATATATGAACAGTAAATAAGTGTTGCTTTCATATTCTTATGTAAAGTAATGACGATATGTTTTCACGTGTGCGCATGCGCACTTACATACGCGATCTCTTTTTTTCTTTACCATTATCGTTAGCTACTTCTATTGTTCCATTTATTTCCATTTATTAACATTAAATAACATTACTTAAAACAACCATATTAATTTTACTACAGCTACAGCCAAGGTCTTATTTTCCTCAGTTTTATATGTAGAACCAGTCAGTCACTGGTTTTGTAATCAACGAAAACAATGCTGTGTCATTTCCTGGTGTGTTTTAATATTCTACGTATTATTAATGAATTGTATTGCTCATTTTGCGCACATAAACATTAATTCAATAAAAAAGACATTCAGTAATAAACAATAATGAATCTTTTGTACACAAGAGAAATGACGCTGTTTACAAGATTATGCCCATCGTCTGCACGTTGGCGGGCCGTTCAAACCCATCGAAATTCAAGTTTCCGCTGTCAAAATTTTTATATATTTATTTTTTTGTGTGTTCCAATAAAATACGTTAAGAATTAAAAACTCGCGAAATTTGAGAAGCTACTATACGACATTTAACACTTCAATATGTCTTCAAAGACACCATGATGCAGAGAAAGTGGTGCTAGTGCTTCCAAGCATAAGCACAAGTCACTATCTATCCAGGAAAAGGGTGAATTTCCATGGTCCGGCACCGGTCAGGTCCCGAGGTTGCCGGACTAGAGAGGTACAACCTGTACATACATGTACGTATAACAAAATAATGGAAAAAAAATTAATTACAGTAGCATGTTTAATTTATATTATGAGTCACAAGCATGCCTAACCAATCTAGTTTTGGATTACAAAGAAAACAAAATTAAGAACCACTGACTTAAGAGCATATATATAATTCAAAATTGCTTGATTTGTTCACTTGCTATGCCCTGCTAAGTGCTGCAGCTGTTTCACCATTTTCAAGACTTCTTAGTATCACCAACCAAGTCTCTAGTGTTATTATCTTCTTAGTATTCTTCATAAAGGACTTTTATTGAACTTAATGAATGCTTTTGGGCAGCCATTATCAGTGGCTAAAAGACAAATCAAGGCCATAAATACTGTAGAAGAAATGGCTTCACACAAGAAGCTCTTAGTGCAATCTGGCATGCAAGATGTTTTCTCCAAATGCATTATGCTTGGGAATGAGTAAAAGCACAATGTACAGCCACCTAAGTGTGAACATGAGCCCTTTATAAATATTAAATTTTTATAAAAAGTTAAAAAAATGAACTGTACATGTGGATCTGGTTTTTGAGAAGCTGGCATAAACAAGTGTGACCTGCACAGCACAGATTCATGTGTTGAAAGTTACAAGCCAGTTGGTATACTTATCTTAAGGAATTTCATGTCAATAGCTGGAAATGCTTCTTGAAAACCAACCAGGGCTATCTGTTCTACAAGAAATGCATATTAAAAATTTATGTACAGTTATCATTATTTATTACTTTCAAAACAAAGTGCTATATAAAAAGGTATACAGTATACTTGTACATATTACAGCATTTCCAAATTCAAGATCAAATGGTAAAGTTTTAACAAAGGCACATTATGTACTAAATATGAACTTTAAAGTCCCAGCAGTTATTTTGTGTAATCTACTGGTATTATACTGTCAGAATACAACAGCACAACTGAGTGATGTTTTATCAAACTGTGGGAACATAGTAGGACAACTGAGTTATTGTGTTTATACAAATTGTTACTGCACTCGGTTTTTATATAGTAACACAACACATCTATAAATAGAAACTGGGCATACCACTGTCACTTGATTGCCCAGACCTAAAGTCAGCACTTTAAATACTAAACAATCAGCTTTTTGCTCCTGCCAAAAGTTAGTTATGTATCTTGCTTTTTCATACTGAATGGATGTGCCTATACCTGAGTGACATTACTGTGTTTGTTAACTAGGGGAATCAATTTTTAATTCACCTGGGTATTTGTATATTCTCTACATTATATTCACATCAGTAAAGAAAAGTATTCTTAGGCATTTGAACTCAAGCCTTCTAAAAACTCACCAAAGTGATTAAGTTCAACAAAGAATTTAACAAATAAACTAGTACAGTACAAAAAATTCTCTATACCTGTATTGCAAAAAACTTTCATTCATTTATTATTTATTTCTTAAATTTCTTCTTATTTTTCTTTATTCGATTCCTGACACCCATGCTCTCTTCAGTGTCATCATCCATATAGTCCCGCTTCTTGGACCTTTTCCCACCCTTCTCATCAAGTCGAGCCATCTCCTGTAGATATTCAGAGTATTAGTGGCTAGTACACACACACACATACTCAGATTCTTAAAATAATTTGAACTATTAATATAAATCTAAATATATGTAAGCATAAAAAACAAAACAAGCTTATACAGGAACACACCGCTATTAGTAATCTTGATAATCGCAATCCTGCTTATCTGCATTTTATATTTGCAAAGCATAACCCGCTTATTTGCAAATGAAAAATTATGATACTGTACAGTAATATTTCAAACCAAGCGGGCAAGTTGCAGTTTACATATTCCAATGTAAGGCCAGATTCACTAACCTGCAGTATAATATACAGGAGGTCCCCAGGTTAATACATCCGCCGATACAAATGAGGCCCCATAAAGTTCAAATTTAAATTTTAATATTTTTTAAAGGTGATTAATCCACCCAGGCACATTAGACAACACAATATATTTCCAATATCTTCCCAAGCAGTAGTATCTCCCTGTTTGATAGTTGCCTACTACCGACTACCTTTACCTGAGGACTTAATTTTTACTTTCATTTACTGTATTTTGTCATTCTATTTCTTCTCTTCTCTTAAATTAAGTGATATTAGATGTATATAAAGGACTTATGCTCTGATATAGTGGGATTTTAAACATTGTATGCACATCGCGTATATGGTTCGACTTAAGAATGACCATAGGAACGGAACTCGTGTGTAACCCTGTATATAATTCTTGCTTGTCCTTCAAAGTAAACTCTTTTTTGGTTCTCTTTTGACTTTATTTTATTATTGTCTTGCCTTTGAAAGCCATGGTAATTAGTCCACAAGAGTTAAGAGATGCACACGAGGGCTGTAGCAGCATGACTGGCTTGTAAACAAAGTGGCTGGGAGTGGCATTCATGTATGCTAGTCGGCAATCCAGATTGCCAACCGGATTTTTTCCGGTTAATTAAAACTTTTTCTGGATTAAATAAACCCCCTTTGGAAATTGATAATCCGGAAATTCGCTTAATATGGATTGGATTCCCCCCCCACCTCCAGTGTCATCTCATACCCATTAGCTCTCATTTTGTCTATTTAAAAACTGGTTAGACTACTGTACAGTATCCCCATTAAAGACACTACAGGGTACAGTATATATTTTAATATTAAATAATTTTCTAAGAAACTGTCTTTATACCATAATATATAATAAAATTTTTATGGAGATGCATTCCTGATGATGCTGATGTGACGAGTACAGGTAATAAACACAGATTATTACAGTAATGTATCTTTACTAATTAATGAATAACAAATAAACAATATTGCATCAATAATGACAGTCGTTTGATTAATACAGTGACCCCTCGTTTAACAAACGCCTCGGTTAATGAAATTTCGGTTAACGAACTGCCTTCCATAAGGATCTTCAATTCGGTTAACGAATTTCTTATGAACCGACCTCAACATGTTTTAGCTTGCACTGACCGGGCAACCAGCTTTAGTATCAGTCCGCCAATACATTAATCGGTTCTAGGGCTTAAATTCCTTACTATTTTAGTAAATATCAAGAAGTTTATACTATTCAATAATTTTAAAAGTTTAATATTCAATTTTTTAGTCATTTTAACAATTATTGAACATAATTGAAGGTAAAGTGACTAGTTTAATGCGTGGCATCCAGCCTCTTAACACAGCAAACAGGCGTTAGTCTCTCTCTGTTTTCACTAGAGGTAACATCTTGCTTGAGACTCTTCAACTAAATGCTTTTTTTCTGTGTTTCCAAGCAAATTATTGGTCATTTTGAAATATATTTTACATATTGACAATATATAATGCAGTGCAGTGTTGATTTAAAGAAAATAATCTTGAATTACACCAAGAGAGCAAAAATTTTATGGGTGAAATGGCGCCATGGGGTGACTTCTCTTCCACCCCAATGCCTTCTCTTCTTCCTTCTCCTCCACCTCCATTCTAAATCCCATCATCATCATCCAGGAGCCTTCTACATACACACCTCAAAGTAAGTGAACTTTTCTACCATTTTTGTTGAATTTAGGAAATTTTCGGTGAGCTGGAACCAATTACCCAAAAACCCATTGAAACAATGGTTTCGGTTAACGAACTTTTCGGTTAACAAACGACCTTCTGGAATGGATTGAGTTCGTTAACCGAGGGGTCACTGTAGTAGTGATTGTAGTTTGAAACGCAAGGGTGGTTGGGTGAATGGGTTGGTGGGTGTGAGGTTTCATTATTCCCAAACCTCAACAAGAAAAGTCAGGACTAAACAGGATTAGTAGGGCACCACTGCCAAGGTGTGCATAGTGGCAGTCAAAGAATTATGTTAAGTCTTTGGGCTAAGCCTTCACATCTTGCTTGGGGACTGTCATCCCATTAACAGTGGATGAGGGAGTAAAGAAAATGCTTTCATGCGATTCCTCTACAACTCAGTGAACCAAATAACTTTCCTTCCTGTGTACTGGGATATATATATATTAAAAAAAAAAAGAGGAGTTTACAAATTTAAGAAAATTACTTACCAGCTTGGCAAATCTCTCTGCTTCTGCTATTCTTTCCTCAAGAATCATAGCTTCTTCCTTTACGGTAGGATACACATCTAATTTGGTGTCCAAGAGCTGTTCTATTCTCTGGTACACTTCCACTTCATACTGTTGGGAAAAAATACTGGTAATTTAAATAAAAACAATAATAAATGTTTTATGTCAAATTCAAAACCAAATTGCATGAGTCCAACAGTGAACACTGTACGTTGCAACAGGTATGGCAATTAGTTGGGATTTAGTGAAGGGGAGTAAAATCAAGAGTGACAGAGAATACAAGCAACAGGCATGGCAGTGTAGTAGAGAATATTAGGATCAGGTTAACCCTCTCATGGTCTTTCGACGCAAATTGCATTGCTAAGAGCTTCCGTGCTGGTGCAACCCCTCCTACTCAGCTGTATCTCACACTGAGAGCCCCCTCCCGTAAGTAGAAACACACAAACAGTGAACCGGCTCTATCAACGACCTAGGTTCCTCCCAAGAGCCTCATGGGATAGCAGATGCATTTCTAAGGGGGCAATTTGGGTCTAGATCGCTCTAGCCAATGTTTACTAAAATGGAAAAACCGTTACTGAAATACACGAGTTACTGAAATACATGAGTTCTTGAAATATATGAGTTTGTAAATGGGAAGCAGAAGACTGTGGAAGAATATGGCATACCAGTTATGGTAAAACATGATGATAAGGAATACAGTTAACCCTGAATTTGTTGTGCTTTTTTTGTACAGTCTTACTTAGAGAGTATGTACAGTACATGGTTCAGCATTGAGGCTAATTGGGTCTACAGATAGATTGCAGTGGTTTTCAATCTTTCTTCTTTTTTTAACTTGGTCACACTTCTGGGAACAATGTGAACCTAATTTTTTATGTGTACATTTATATAAAATAGAGGAAGAAGAGGTTGTGAATGAAAAATGAGGGTTTATGTCACAATGGGAGCTTTTGCATGGGAGCATAAGCCTTATCTGGGGAAGAGAGTAATATCTTCTAAATGGAGGTTAGACTCAGTCTCTTATATCTTGTATTCCTCCTGTGTGGAATGGGGATGATGGATTGGTTTACAACATTGAACAGTGGATTGGTTTATGGCACTAACAGTGGATTGGTTTATGGCACAAACAGTGGATTGGTTTATGGCACTAACAGTGGCTTGGTTTACAGCACTGGTATAAATAATACATTAACAAAAATTATTTAGAAATATTGTGCAATGAAGGATGCCCACTCCAAAGAAACTATGCAGGGGAAGGGGTCCTGGGAGTTGTTGATAATAGCATTAATGTGACAGTTCGAGAATGGAACGCTGTGAGTAGTATGAGATGTATGGTGATACATACAAAGATCACATAGACCATCCTGTAGGGTTGTGATAAACTGGTTATTGAATACAGACAAACAAAATGAAATTCATGAATCAACACCAGGGTGTCTACTGGCCAGACAAAACAAAATTCACTAGCCTTTCCAGGTGTAAATTTGAATAATTCCAGGTACAGTAATTTGGTATTTATTATGAAAGAATAACAAAATTAGAGGTTTTCAATAATATGTATACATTGTACTATTGGGAAATCTAAAGATGATATAAATGATATTAATCAAGAAATTGAAGACCTTTTTGCAACCCACCCAAAGCCTAGTGATGAACATCGGCAAAGACCTTGAACCCCCCCCCCCTCCATATTTTTCTCCTCGGATTTGTGCGATTCACATGGGTCTACCTGAACGTTCCAAAATAGCCGGAAATCCGCCAAAAAACTAAAATTCACACTCCTGATCCACCTATATGACTCATGATTAATATGTGGAATAATTCACTCAAATAAAGTCACCTAATTATGAGAATAATTCATCTCTGACAATACTTATTGCAGAATTAGTAGGTATAACCTGTAATATTTTGTTATTTGATCGCTAACATTCTGTTATTGGAGTGGCTACTTACTGAAATTTGTTCCTAAAAGTTTAATTATTCACCTATTATACAGTACAGCATTAATTGAGGTGCCCCCGCATCGTATGGGTTACTTGCGCCAAAATTTGAAAGCCGAGAAAACCGCATTTAAAGTTTTTCCAACTTCAAACATGCATAACTTTGTTGTTTTTTGGAGATACAGCATTCATTTTTTATGCATTTTAAAGGTAAAGAACTGTACTTGCAGATGGCAGGTAGAACATCATGTTGCAATGTTGACCTGAAGCAACTAAACTCCCACCAACTTATGGCTTTTTTTACTTTAATCGATATCAGTGTAGATCCCGCCACAACAAAAGAGAACCGAGGGAGAGAGGGATTCCGCGCTCATTGGCTGGAGGGGCCGTGACATAGATAGCAGTTGCTCCCTTTCATTGACTGAGACGGGGGAGAAGGCTGCAGGCTGGCTGCTACTCTCACTCACTCACTGACGGGATGAGAGCACCTGACGAAGGGAAAACCAAACCCATACTCTCCTGTCTGCCACAAATCAATGTTCTACTTTATTTTCAAAGGAATTTCAACCTTATTTACAGTGTAGTAAGGAGATCTTATCAACTGTATGAACCCAGCAAGGCACTGTGTACTATATATTGGGGGTTAGTGGCCAAAATATATATCATTAACCAACTTATATAGGGAGGCAATTTTACAAACACATCTTGTGGATTTCCTTGTGTATTGCATTGTATTCAAAATAAACTGTAAACTAGTGGGAACATACCTGTGACACAAAAGTGATAGCAACACCTGACTTGCCAGCACGAGCAGTTCTACCAACTCGATGAATGTAATCCTTGCTCTGCAGTGGGACATCAAAATTAATCACGTAGTCCACACAAGGAATGTCCAGACCTCTGTAGAGAAAAAGCCAAATTATACAATGATGCATTTGACTGCCATTAGTGTCTTCTTTTTCTTTGGCTATAATCCTTAAGTGCTCTTTTTGTGTGGTCAAAGTGACATGAATTAGCTGGCATGGCATTTAACACAAGGGAAACAAACCTATTTTATCATATTCTTTGTTTATCATACATTTATCACATTTAAACTATTACCATAATTGCACGATTATAAGCTGTACCATTTTCTTGTGCCCCCAAATGAGAAGAGTTGGGGTATGGATTAGAATAGGATACTATGCTTGGGTTGGTTGGAGTTGAAGTTCAGGGGACCGACAAATAAACTCTACCTAGTATCTTCATCCACCTTCCAAAGATTCATGTTTTCTGGACACATTGTGATATAAATATGACTTTTTAGTAATTTACCTTGAGGCCACATCTGTTGCTAGAAGAATAGATCTTTCTTTGGCTTTGAACTTATTTAGTGATCCCAAGCGCTTGTTCTGTGACATTTTACCATAAAGAGGGATAGCTGTAAATCCAAGGTTTCTCAGCATAAGTGCAGTTTTTAAGGTAGATAGCTGTGTGGAACAGAAGACAATAACAGACTGGTTTCCAATCTCATTCAAGATGTAAGTCAGGTAGATGTGCTGAAAAGATATAAACATCATTAATATCTACGTAAGCAACAGTATACAAATTGTGAATGGACTAATACAAAAATCTACTGATTGTACACAAGAAGAAATAGGTAGAATATGAAGTGCATGACACATGAGACTGATAGGGAATCCTTCATCAGTACGGTTAAGGTATGAGTCAAAGGAAGATCAAGAGAGAGATGGGCAAGTTATATAAATGAACAACTAAGGTGGGTGGAAAAGAACTCTTAATGGGATTTTACCACAACATCTGTCTTCAGCATTTATTAAATAATATTGTAGTGAGGAAAATTCCTCATTATAAAATGTTTCACTATAAGTTGCATTTTTCTGGAACACATCCTGATGTTTAATGAAAAAACCCTGTGTACACCGTAATACAAATGACGGCCATCTGAACTTTATCTTGTAAAATCAGACAAAAAATAAAACTTCAGTAATTTTAAAAATGAAAACATAATTTCAAACAAGACCAGTCCCACTTTTTATGACTGGGTGGATGTGAGATACTGTTTCAAGCCCTTATCCTTCGAATGGCAATGTCCATATAATTTGGAGATTATTTCTATTTTGGAATAGATGGATCCAGATATGTTTTGGAGAGATGTAATTACCCTCAGACTGCAATGCAACTATTTAATTTCCAATAAATGCAAAACTCTAACAACTAAGTACAGTTCAGGGCTGTACCAGTATACATACAGTATGATGAGCCTCACTCATTGAGTAAATTCCCTGCTGGAAGTAAATTACTAGTCTAATTACAAAGTTCATCTATACAGCTGCTCCTGCAGATTCAAATGCAAATTTGAAAAAAAATTTAGAAACTAAAATGAATAACAAAGGGTGTTTGAATAACTCTTTCCCCCAATTACTTGCACAAGTGAACTGAAGCTGATATCTCACATTCACACACTACCCCTGAAGAGGTGAATTACTGTTCATAAAAGTGCTTGAGAATTTTGTTTTCTTTTTTCGTATTTGGTTATCAGTATATAAAATTTATATATGGAAGTATACAAAACAATAAAATTAATGAAAAACTAATTATATTCTTTAAATAATGTTTATGAATGCACCTTATACAATATAAATAAATAATAATATCACACAAGAGATGGGATACCATTGTTGTTGCCAGTGTTTACACCCATAATGTGTTATCCATCTGAAACTGAAGAAAACAAGGCCCTGGTTGTTGTTGTAGTAAAATTAATGTAAAAAAAAATATGTATATTCCAATTAATGTTATTTAATGGACAGTAGAAGTAACAACTGATGTTAAAGAAAAAAAAGTGAGTACAACCATCACTTAATCTCTTGCTCATGTTGAATAGGGATGTAAAAATGCAGTAAGAAACCTGAGAAAGTTTTTCTCCTTTCCCTGTTCAAATGAGTGAAAACAACATGCCCAGCAGCCTCCATGAGCAATGCGTGTTTATTTTATTTGTACAATACATATCGGGATTTAGTTATTATTTATATGAAAATGTAATTTTATTTTATTTTTTATTATATTTTCGTAGTAAATATGAAAGAATTAATGGTGTAAATTGAATTGGGTCCTAAATTAACCAGGGTCTTAAATGTGAATCGTCGTCAGTAGAACCGTCATTAACGGAGGCTTTCCTGTACTACCAGTAACAAATTTAATCCTTGCTTACAACAAAGACTTATTCCCTGGAGATGAAAACAAACAAAAAGACACCTGATGATGCATATGACAACAGGAAGCATACTGTAAAGACTACACAACTTACTTTATGTTTACATGGAATGAAGAGCATGTGCTGCTGCAGTTTGATCACTGTCTGGTATTTGGATGACACCTCCACTTTAACGGGATCTTTTAGATGTGCTCGCTGTAGTTTGTTCACCTAGTTAAAAAAAAAAAAAAATAGACATGAATGAAGATAAAGTACTGTCTCAGAAATTACAGTCGGATCTCCACTTTCACACCTAACTCATGCAGCAAAGGTGAAAATCACATCATTGTTTTACAACCATTTTTCATGTCGACATGGATTGTACATGCTAACCTGGTGGCAGCTATCCTTACTGTACAGTCTCTAGCAGTCTCTTTTGTCAGGTTCCTAATTCTAATGTCATTTTATAAAACCTCACCGCAAGTCATTCTTGGCCTACCCCTGGCTCTCCTCCCCTCCACATTTAAGCTCATGCACTTCTTGTCCCAATTGGTCTAACCATTCTCTCTCTCTACATTCCCAAACCATCTAAGCCTTGCCTTTATGTAGTAGTTTTCCTATACTCTCAATACCCAGCTACCCTCTTTGCTCTAAAGAGGGCCTCCTGTCTGTCAGTGTTACATCACATATCCACCTCACCATTCTCATTTAAGCTCACTCATATCTACTTATCTCGTCCTCTTTAACTGCCCAAGTTTCACTGCCATACAATATCACACTTCTCACACCAGCTGCAAACATTCTTCCTTTCACATGAAGGGAAGGTTCTTTTGCCATCAATAAAGGCATCAGTTCCCTTTACTTCCTCTCGCCACTTCTGACTCTTGTAAATGTGTAGACTTCAGCACCCCCACCAGCACTGATCATGTCACCCAGGTGACAGAACTCATTGACACAGTCCAGGGACATATCCCCAATGTTGAGTTTCTCCAGCCCTGCTGTAGGCACATGGTTACCTGTACATACAGAACACTTAAAGTCATCATCATCCCTCAATTCCTCAATTTGCCATATACATTCCACACTTATTACACGGTACTGAGTTGCTGCCAACACTTTTCTTGCACAAAACACATGGCATTTTTCTACTTTCCATCATCACCCACACCACTAATCAGTACTTGTGTTTTGCCACAATCACTCTCATGCCCTTTGCCTCTATTCCAGCATTTCATTTCTTAAATTTCTCCACTGCCTCTTCAATACTATCTGCTATCAGCACATATAAATTTTTAGCAAATGATAAAAGCCTTCTCCCACAGGTAAAAATATCTTGGAGTGTGGAGGCTCCCCCTGTACATTACTAGATTCTCCATACAGAAGGTCCCCGGGTTACGTATGTACGACTTTAAATTTACAGTATTTTATTTATCTGATGACTTACTTTTTACTTTCATTTACCTTAAATTATGTGATTTTTTTATGTATATAAGGACTTAGGCTATGATATAGTGGGATTTTAAACATTGTTCTGTAAGTACAGTATGCACAAAGGGTATGTCCTGTGATTTACGTACATTTTTTACTTAAGAACGTCCCCAGGAACGGAACTCGTTCGTAACCCGGGGACTGCTTATATTGAACACTGACAAAATATGTCTCATTGTCTGAGAAGTTACCACAACTATGAACCTCAAGTACTCACTTTGCTGGTCATGGTAGCAGAGAAGAGCATTGTTCTTCTCTCACGAGGTAGTACTTTCAATATCTTGTCAACTTCCTCTTCAAAATCCATGTTTAGGATACGGTCAGCCTCATCCATGATCTGTATAAATAATGTGGTTTATTTTATAGCACAGATACAAACATATATAATGTCTCTCCTCCTCCTACTCCACATACGAAGAAGTGGTCAACACACTGATCCTCTCCGCTCTTTTTGATCACCACTATGACGTCATCTGCAAGTTTGAGGAGAAACTTGTGTATTATCGTCGTCACTGTCTCCTGCTCCCAATTGAGATCTCTCATCCATGATATGCTGTTTGACACTACTGTACAACTGCTTTCAGCCCATACGACTACATACTGATCGCTTTAAGACCAGCCCAATCCCAACCACTATAAAAATTATCAACAACTTGTAGATGACCAGTGTGTTCACTCCCTGCCAATAGTATTATTTTGTATTGTTACTATGCTGACATTCCCTTACCAAATATTTCAATGCCTTGAGGTTAAATCCCTTTGTCTTTTCCAGGTGATCCAAAAGACGTCCAGGTGTAGCAACAATTATGTGAGGTCGTTTTCCTAGCTCCACTGCCTGCTGGGTCATGTCCATTCCTCCAACAATTACCATGCATGTTACACCTACTGCCTTACCTGTCCAATAAAAGAAACAAATGTACGTGTACATATACTGTAATTACAATAAAATTTAATAATAATAACTGGACTTTTCTTTATCAAAAGCTTCAGTTCTTCTACAGAATTCACTGGAACTCGAAACACTACAAAGTCAAATAATAAAAAGATCACAAAAAGTGAGTTCATATATCCTTAAGTTGTAACACTTCCTAAACCAAGCAAGTCTCCATCAATGTACCTTCTTCATGTTTATAGGCTTTAAAAAAAAATAAAAAAGTGTTAAGTTGTTTCTAAAGGCCTCCACAGAAGTCAGCTGCTTCATGAATGCAAGCAACTGACTGTACAATCTGGGTGTTGTATAGGAAAAGGATTATACATTCAAAAAATAAGAGAGATTAAGAATGTCTATCTACCAGACACGTTATGATTCCTCCACAAATGGAACTGATTACAATTACTGTACTTACATTTGCAAGTCTATGATTATGATTTCTTCCAAAATTAACATAACTGATTATAATGTTAAACACTGTCATCATGGTTCCTACAATTCCAAATTAGGTAAACAAAAGAAACATTACATAATCACTGTCATGAAAGGTGTTTAATGCTATAAAATAGTGAATATTAATTATTACCAAATCACTGAATTCAATGCCATAAATATTTTTATGAGAACATATAAATACAAAATTGGTACTGTACTTCCTTATTGAAGATTTTATTCATAAAAATTCATACCAAATACAGTTCAGTACATTATTTCCAAATTCTTGCACTTTCAAGAATTTCTGCATGTAATTTTATTTTTTGTATATCATAGGTTTAAGAACATAAGAATGGAGGAAACTGCAACAGGTCTATTGGCACATACTAGACAGCCCCACTTAGACCCAACCCATATTGCTCATACACCTGTTCAACCTGTATTTGAAGCTTCCCAGTGTGTTCAAGGAAAGTTTGTTTAGGTCCTCCTGTAATTTTACGGAATCCTCGTCAGATTTAATTACACTCTCTATTTTAGTGTCATCAACAAATTTCCTTTGGTTGCTGTCTATGCCTATATCTATGTCATTAATGTATATAATAAAGAGTAATGGTCTTAAAATAGAGCATTCAAGGAGTTATTAAAAGGGTTAAGTCATTATATTTAAGAGGTTAAATCATTTTATTCAAGAGGTTGTTATATTCAAAGGGTTAAGTTATAGTATTCAATGGGTTATTTCATTATATTCATGGTAAGTCATCAGACTCAAGGGGTAAACCATTGCTAAACCTCCACTATTATCAAGCAGAATCAGTAGCCCCTACTGTGCCACAGATACAGAAAGAGAGTCAGTAGTACCTAATACTGAAACTAAGGGTTGCAGTTAAATTGTAATTGCGGCAGTACTATAACTGGATTTCTGGAATATAGTTCCCACACAAGTTAACCCCTTCACTACAGGGACATCACTATTAATATATCACCTGGATAACACCAGACAAATTTATACAGCACAGAGGTAACCCCCTACACAAGGAGTTAGTGGTCTTGGGTAACCAGGGGTGTCTAAACTGTCAACCAATTAATTTGATGAACTACTGTATTACATAAATTACCTGATTCATTACATGAGTTATAAAAGTACAATTCTAGGATAGTTTAACAACTCTAATAAAATGAGATAAGGTGAAAATCCAGAACATTGCAAAGCTGTAATATGCCAGACCATTAATTTAGTGACCATTCATAAACAGATTGTTTCATTGTCTGAATGTAATCTTCGAATCACTCCAGAAAAATCAAACAAGGTAACTGACCAGCCAAATGTAATTCCATTTGAGATTTTACCCTGATAACATTCCAAATTTCATTAGAGGTATATGCAAAACAGTAGTAAAGAAGACTTATTACACTTACTAAATGTATGTCTACAGACAGTCAGACACATCTGCAAGACATCACATTTTACTGTATAAAAAGTGATCAACCGAGCAATAACTTACCTAGTGCCTCAAACTGCTCTTTAATTTGGAATGCCAATTCTCTTGTTGGTGTCAAAACAAGTGAAAACAGTCGCTGTGGTTGAGATATAAGGGCCTGGAGTACTGGAAGTCCAAATGCCCCTGTCTTCCCTGATCCAGTTTCAGCCAGGCCTATGACATCTTTATCTGAGGGAAAAATTTATTCAATTTATTTACAATCTCTTGAATTAGCACTCCACCATTACAAGCCTTTCCCTCACTCTGAATGGGTTTATTAAGCACAAATTTAGAAAGGCATGGTTATTAACTTAAACAATATGCACAGCACAGGGTGGTTCACAATTGCATGGGTTGAACAGCCAAGGTCTGTATACTTCAGCTCAAGCAAATTCAGAGCATGTCCCTAGCTGAACACTGAGAGGAACATGGTGCATCATGGGAGTGTGGGTACCAGAAGTACAATATTCACCCTCAGCCACCCCAATCCCCCACACAGTGTTTACATCATCACGTACTCTCTCAGTCACCCACAAAATCACTCACATACTGTTTTACATTAGTTCTACAACTGTACTTACACAGTTGCACAAACAAAATAACCTACCATTTTTTCCATGGCAAGATGCCTCCATTAAGTAACTGAAGGAGTGAAGGTGGTATTCACAACAGAACCAAGGTTACAATGATTTAAATCAATTTAAATCAGAAAAAGAACTGATTCGATATTTTAGTTAGTTTATAATCATATACAGTACAGGGTAGATATTAAAGACTGGCTTGATTTTAATTAAACTTGTGTACAATAATGAATATAATACTGTTTACCATATTGTGTGCCTGTAAAGGCAGACTGGAACTGACCAGAATATTTCAGTCTTAGGTGCATAATCAATATGTAAATTTATCATAATTTTTACAATACTGTACAATACCTGAAATTGTTATTTTCTTTTTGGCAATGTAAACCAAGATGGTATACTACTGTACTGTATAAGCTTGAATATACTAATGATACATAACTACTGTACCTTTTAATGCCAGAGGAATAGCTTCTTTCTGGATGGCTGTTGGGACTTTCCATCCCATTCGAGTACAAGCTTCACACAGCTCATCAATCAAACCCTGCAATATTGGAAAGAAGATAGAATAAAGTAAATATTTTTGGTATTATTATCGTTACAGTTATCCAGCGAATTTTAGGTTAGGTTAGGTTGGGTTGGGTTGAAATTATGTTTTCCGCTGGTTTATTTTAACTTCCAAATCGGTGGATGAACAAAATGATAATTTTACCTTTTTTTTATCTTTCTCCCTATACAAATAGGAATACCCTGTATAAAGTTCCATGTCGACCTAAAACGAATCTTAACCTTAATTTCTGCTCTTGCCATAGTTCCATTGGCTTTGTTTGATGCTATAATATCAAGTACAGCACACCACCAGACCAAGAGCCATCTTATTTGCATCAAGAGTCACAAAAGCTTGAAGTAATCTCTCTTCAGACAATGTCAGGAGTACATCAATCAATGCATTCGAGTCATGTCTCGCTCAAGAGTGGAGGAACCACTTGGACCTGTATCAATACAGCCTCTCATATTGACAAATCCAACACCATGAACGGTTACAGTCCAACTCAGCCCATTACCAAGAATAATAAAAGTACAATGACAAAAAGCAGCATACATTATAGGTGGGGGGGGAGGGGATTTATTTGTTATTATTTACCTTTTCATTCTATCTTATTAATATATTAAAGTACATACAGCATGTGGCAGAGGTGATCTTTTTCTTTTATATATATAATTTTCTATTGAGTTCACAATTAAGATCACTTTACCTGGAGACCTGACAACAATATCCTCACAATATATGACGGATGAGGATGACCTGATCTGAGGTTGAAGAGTTCCACAACAATTTAAATAATGAGTTACTTAATGCACAAAGGCAGAACATACCATACAGAAAACTCGGATCGAATAACAATGACCCCAAATGGATACATAATTATTTAAAGAATATTATTGGCCAAAAGAAGGCTATAGGTTGGTGAATAAATTGTGAAGTTTACCTCAGAGATTATTATAAGGTATTGGCCAGTAGGGTTAAGACCGAGATAGGAAAAGCAGAGAGGGATAATGAACTGAAGGTAGCAAGAGAGGCAAAGTTAAACCCCAAAGGATTCTTTCAAATGTATCAAACTAAACACAAGAAAAGATTGAACCAATACAGTCAGACACCGGCGAGCTAACTGACAACGACGGAGAAATGAGCAATAATCTGAACAGGTATTTTTCAACAGTTTTCACCACTGATAATTTAAACATGATACCCGAGGCACCGACTATATACAGATATAGTGAAGAAAATAGATTAAGCGAGATAATAGTGACTAGTAATGATGTTAGTAAGCAAATAGACAAACTAAAGCCTAATAAGTCACCTGGTCCCAATGAGATATTTACCAGAGTATTAAAGGAATGTAAGGAAGAGCTTAGTATGCCCTTAGCAAATTTGTTTAACATGTCCTTAAAAACAGGTGTAGTACCAGAATCCTGGAGGATAGCAAATGTGATATCAATTTTCAAGAATGGAGATAGATCACTATCCTCTAACTATTGTTCAATCAGTTTAACATCAATTGTAGGCGAATTACTGGAAGCAATAATTTCAAACCCTATTCTTAATCACCTGGAGAAGCACAAGTTAAAATGTGAATCATGGTTCATTGATCAAGTTCTACTTACATAAACTAAAAAAATTCGTCCATCATACAGATTGAACCCTCGGTATTCACTCATTCACACTCTTCGTATTTCAGTGAACCAAAATAGACATAAAATATATCTAAAATTCATTCCTGAACCTCGAGTCAGCTGTTAGAGGTGTGCAAGGTGGGCCGAGTTGAAGGTGCACCCCATGAACACCAAACACATAAGAAAAGAAAACTTCTCTACTTAAAAGAGGAGCTAATTACTTTAGTACAGTCTCATTATCCACATGGTACCTAATTTGAGTTACTTAAGGTAAATAACTGTTCCAGTCCATTATATCTTCCCCTAACTTGTTACTCAGCGTCTTATTTCTAACTTTATTGGTTTAAACCTTATGAACCTAGTCAAAACACGTGACTGTAGTCTTGAATATGATAAAAGAGGCAAAAGATAACACTAACCAGGTCTTTAAAGGTAACACTGACGTCCTCCTCCGCCATGGTTGTTGTGCTCCACCCTGTGTTGTGGTGGCCGCCATCTTGGTCAGCGCTTACCACAACACCACACAGGGGGATGATAATGATAATAATAATAATAATAACATATAATAACAAATATGAACATTACACACTTGTCGTTGTTATAATGTTATTACTACCCTTCAACAACGAAGGTCTTTAAGGGCGTAACAAGGTTAGCGTAAGTGGACACAGCGTTTGCATTCCCAGAAGAATAGAAAACCGCATCTGATTCTGGTGCAACTTTGACAGATGGATCTTTTGAAGAAGTGTGATTTGTTTCCTAATATTCAAGAAGCCCTACTGATCATGACACTTCCAGCCTCCACTTGTGAAGGAGAGTGGTCGTCCCCCTACACCGTCTTCCATCTTCAGAGGAAACGGCTCATTTCTCTCCAACTCATCCATCATTATCATCATCACCTGCAGCATTTATTTTATCATTGAAAGTTCGCTGCTGATGTTCTGAGCAACTTACCAGCGTGAAACACAATTGGCTAGCATTAGTCATCCCTAGACTATCGATTAATTATATCAAATTAATTATCGTTGTTAGTTTTTTAATGCTTAAAGGTAATTCTAGTGATTAGTTATTTGGTGATAACACTGAAAAGTGATATTGCTAATCACACAGTACTCGAAAGTAACTCGATTATTATACGTGATTATAGTTGTATATGGATGTACAGTATATACCTGTCTTGAATAAATCGATATGTCAGGTCTTATCTTGTCCATGCTTGCCACCAGTGCGTAAAAGAGGGCAGTACATGAACACTGAGCCAACAGTGCCTATCAGAGATGAGACTGACATACCAAGCGGCTAACAGGCCGATCAGTGGCGAAGAGGATAAAAAAAAACACAAACGTAAAATAATTGCTGTATCTTACAACCATAATAAAAAGTACAAAAGTCACCCCGTCCAAATATTTCATTTTCTTTTATAAAGACAAAGAAAACGGAGGTAAAATTGTTCCATGAATGAGTTTAAATGCAGGACTTAAATAAATTTGAATGGGATTAAAAGCGGAAATTAAATGACTTTGAATGAGTTTAAAGCCGTTACCGTACTATTAGAGAGACCAACCGATTATCTCTTTAATTAAACAATAACAATAACAATAATAATAAATATAGGTCATTTGCGAGGGAACCTCATATAAGAAAAGTGTCCTAGAAGTGTCTGAAATATTGAATGCAAAGATAAAATTCTAGAGGTTCGGTTAGTGATAATAATAATAATAATAATAATAGTAATAGTAATAATTATAATAATAATAATAATAATAATAATAATAATAATAATAATAATAATAATAATAATAATAACAATAATAATAATAATAATAATAATAATAATGATAATAATAATAATAATAATAATTATGTTTAGACTAATTATCATGTAGTTAATTCAGGACAGTTATATTAAAGAAAATTTACCTTATAATGAAACTTTTAGTCAAAATTTGCAAAATAAATTTTACGTTACAGATTATTAGCAAAAAAAATGATAAGAATAAATGATTTTAAAGATTTTTGTGAATCCCAGTATGTTGCTTTCGTTAGGTGAGATTATAATATGTTAGGGTATGTAGGTAAGGTTAGATTAGATTTGGTTTGGTTAGGTAAGGTTAGATTAGGATAAGCTAAGATTTAGATAGGTTGTGTTAGGTTCCACTCCTATTTCACAAGTGATGCGTTTCTATTCCATTATATCCATTTTAGGCAAAGAAAAACACTATTATCATGCATATACACATTTAATTAGATAGACAACATAATTATTTAGTAGGTAGTTGCCAAACAGGGAGGTATTACCGCCTGGGAAGATAGTGGAAGCATTATGAGTTGTCTAATGGTAGACCCTGCTGCCATATGGCATCACGAAAATTGTGACCAAGTCCCAGGTTGCTGATCTGACTTTCTGCCTCATTTACACACAATTGGAGGGTTTCAATTGTTTCTCGTACTATTGATAACAACATACATACTGTATATTGTTTCTCACTTTTAATCTTTTTTTCATTTTGTATTTCTTTAGTGTTCCTTATTATTATTATTACAGTGTTTTTAGTATTATTATTATCATTATTATTTTATTATTTTATTTATTTTTGTTCATTTTCGATTATAAAATTTATTTACTATGAATTATTATTATTATTACATTTTCGTCCACCAGGCCCCGATGTTGGTCAGTGACCTGTGCCCGGGTGGGCTGAACCCTGGAAAAAAGAAGAAGAAAAAAGTATAACCTATGTATACGTCTTAATTATATTTGTAAAAACAATACTGAATGCAAGTGGAATGTTAGCCTATTTGTAATGACTAATTTTACCCATATTTATGTCCATTTTCTATGAAGTCGCACATATTAGAAACCTACCCCGAAGAAAATACAGTAAGAGGGTTTTAAGGTAAGTTCAATCTGTGTCCATTATAGTCTTTGATTTTTATTGTGATAAATTTTCATTTTCAACCAATATGGCTCTCGAGTTGAGCAATATGTTTTTACGATGATTTTTTTTTATTCGAATTTGATATTGATTTTTGTCGGACCACATTAGTGTTAGGAGTGGACCACATTAGTGTTAAGAGTGGACCACATTAGTGTTAGGAGTGGACCACATTAGTGTTAGGTCCACAGTAGTGTTAGTAACATATTTAGGACCACTTGTTCTTCGTAGTCCTAACAAGACTCGGCCGTCATCGTCGTAACATCTGTTGCATAAATTGAAAGTGAAAGTCGTGGCAGGTGATTGTCAGAACCGCAGTTTCGTGTCATAGGACTGCGGCTGCGGGCGTCCCTGGCGGCCGCAACCGTCCACATACCGTATTCTCCCAAGCTTCTAATAGTGCCACGAGTGCCATACCGTGCGGCAACCCCCTGACGCCCATTCAAACGCCTCTAATAGTACGTTCTCAACCTACACGCCCTTGACCACGCCTGTCATACTGTGTTATCTAGAAAACACACTCCATTTGCCAAGTATGTCATATTGCAATAAACCCGTTGAGTACGATGCCTTAACCCGTTGAGTAATCCCGTTGGGTATAATATCTTAGTCTCTTGAGTACGATGCATTTTCATTCTGTTAGACATGATATTTACGATTTTTGATGCATTCTCTGACTGTCCTTGAACAAACTTCTTGACTTGCTCAGAGTGCAGTTGAAATTTATTCTTAGGGCATCTGGTTACGCCGTCTCCTTCACACTCTTCCTCCCTCCTGCTTGCCTCGCTTAACAGCTGACGCGCGGCTACTAATCGCTTACCAGAGAGAGAGAGAGAGAGAGAGAGAGAGAGAGAGAGAGAGAGGACACGTTTGTATACATTTCGGTTACAATAAAAGGAAGGAGTTAAGAGAGGGGGTAGAGTGACCACTCAAGAAGCATATAGTTATCAGCTTCGAGAAAAGGGTCAATTTGAGTTAAGTGAATAATATACAGTAGTATGGTACAATAATAGTATGGTACGATAATGCAGTGTGGTACAATAATACAGTGTGGTACAATAATGCAGTGTGGTACGATACTCACCAAGGACCATTCAGAAAGGGTTTGAGTATTCTTTAAGATAACAACGTCTCCCTGGTTTAACAGTATTTTATTCCTTAAAAAGTAAGGTTTTCCAGCGAAGAAAATATATTATTGTTTATTATAGACGACCAGGAATTAAAACAGGGTCCAAAGAAACACTCCTGAACAGTATAGTCATCTGGTCAGGTTTTCTGAATCGGCCGTTAGTTGAAGTCAGGTAATCATTCTAGACCATAAAACCATAATAAATCTTTCATTAATTTTGAGAGTGCAGATCCTCCAGTTGGATTATAATTAGACCTCAATCATTTTGCCAACTCGGTTCCTAATAAAAGGTATTACTTTATAATATTTCGCAATCCAATGTAGCTAAGTCAATATCACTATAAATCCAGATGAAGACTCGGTGAAAAGACTAAACATTTCCCACCAAATAATTAGCCAGCTGAGGTAGGGTTGGCTTCTTCAGTGGAGTTATGCTATAGTTTTGGCTTTAAACTAAGCTCTTTTCCTGCCCCATAATATACTACGACCTTCACAGAGCTGTCACAAAATTCACCTAGTTGACTTTTATCATTAGCATCATTGCGATCATTTTTAAAGTGAGAAAAAGTTCCACTGACTTAAAATTAGTAGTCAAAGGCTTATCTAACTTATTATATGCCTCAGGTTTTTATTCTTGACTGTTTCTATTACATATTACATATCAATGACATTCTATCAAAAACCAAGAACTGTCAAAGTTTAAAATGAGTACGCAAATTTTCATCACAATCTACCATGTTAATGTGTTCGTCAGGTCTCCACAGCACTCCCAACACACCGCCTCGTAAGCCCTTTCACCCTCAACCGTTTCACTACCGCACCTTTCTCTGTGGACCCGCTAACCCCGGTAAGGTTTAATAACTTTCAAAACCCCAGCAATAACTATCTCTCCTAACAAGACAATAATCAGACCTTCCTTTCCCCCTTAACAACACTGCCATGGTCCTTCTTATCACATTAACATTCTAAGATTAACCTTATCTCTCTTCGAATCCGCGCAACTCCGAACTGCTAAAAGTATTCTTTAGCCTTGACTTTCATTCCGTGTTCGTCCCTGTCGCCCCTTCTCTCCATTGCTTCCGTTCACAATAAACATGTCACCTTCACATGGATAATTGCTCTCTAGCCCGCCTCGACAAAATCAACTCTAAGACAATGAACGTATGAATATTAATTTACTGATCTAACTCTAACTTTCAGCCTCTCACCTGCAGGTCCGTCGTTCACTTGTTACTCTTTCTTTACCTTTCTGTACTCTGACTTCAATACACACTGTGGGCCAGATTGTCTTCTTATAATGAGGACTTATAGTTGAAGCGCTACATATTTTATTATCATCCCTCTCATCAAATATTCCTCTCGCCTCGTCACGGTGTAGCTCGCTCCCTCTACAAGTTTTTCCTTTCACGTGGTTTCGTGTGAAGGGTGCATAAGCAGCTCCATAAAAGGAATAATACTTTTTTTCAGGACAGAAGTACGAAACAACCTCCGGACGGGTGGCACAAACGGAATCACGGATGGGGTTCACACACGGACAGAGGGACGCAAGCACGAACTAAGCCATGAAAAAGGGTCATTTAAAGTACTCTTATAACAACAGAAGGCACACCATAAATACAGACGAACATCTTCAGCACCTAAATACTTGTACAGTAGTGGTGACGAATAGAATCGGTAGCTGAGGACACGATGACGACGAGATCACTGAGAAGCGACACTTATTTTGTCGTCTGTTCATCAATCAGTGAGGGTTGGCGACCACGGCCCTCCATTTTAAAAGTTTACGGGCTGTTTTCGTCTAGTCCATCCAGCCTCTACTAACAAAATATTACTATCTATTATTATGCAGCCAAAGCCTTCTTCCATCCTCTGATGAGATCTATTTTCTCTAGAGTTTTTGTAAAATAAAATAGGAAATGTTGGGGTGACAGGTGTTAGATGGCCGGGTGATACCTGTGTTCTACCTCCCTCCCTCTCTCCCTACCTGACTCACTCCCTACTTGAATCACTCCCTACCTGACTCCCATCCTATCAAACTCCCTCCGTTCCTGACTTCCACCGTACCTGACTCTCACCCTATCTAACTCCTTCCCTACCTAACTTCCACCCTGCCTGACTCACTCCCTACCTGACTCCCTCTGTACTGTATGAGGTCACGACTCTAGTGACTACTTTCAGTTCAATCCCTCAACCCTTTCACCAGGTCAAGTTAATTTCCGGGATATCTAAGAATTTTTATTTTTTTTAAATTATGTATAATGAAAAGTAAAGTAAAACAATAAATAAACACAGTTAACAATAAATTAAACGTAAAAAAAAAACTTAAACCTATAAATTAAATACAGTATTATTAAACCTACCCTAACACACACACACACATACATTTCACCATACACATAGTAGTATTGGAAGGGGTGAATAAGCAAAGAGAGAGAGAGAGAGAGAGTACTTAACTTTGCAGTAAGCAGGCCGAACTGACTATCCTGGCAACTCACACAAAATATAAACAATGTTTGGCCTGGGCTACGTGTTATTGGGCGTGGCCTTGAGCAAAAAGGGGCGTGTGGCCTTGACAAACGCATATTAACATAGAACTATTATCGTCTCTTATAAGTATTTCAGTTTTAACATTAAATAAACTAATTTATCTTTATTATATCCCCCCCCTAAAAAATATTTAAGAACATTACAGACGATTATTTTACATTGGTATTATTCCGTAAACAAGCGAACATTCTAGACCCGCTCCCCAAGCTCCTCTCAACAAACGTAACCCAGCAACTACTAACACACAACAAACGTAACCCAGCAACTACTAACACCCAACAAACGTAACCCAGCAAACGTACTAACACACAACAAACGTAACCCAGCAACTACTAACACACAACAAACCCAGCAACTACTAACACACAACAAACGTAACCCAGCAACTACTAACACACAACAAACGTAACCCAGCAACTAACACACAACAAACGTAGCCCAGCAACTACTAACACCCAACAAACGTAACCCAGCAACTACTAACACCCAACAAACGTAACCCAGCAGCTACTAACACACAACAAACGTAACCCAGCAACTACTAACACACAACAAACGTAGCCCAGCAACTACTCAACAAACGTAACCCAGCAACTACACCAACAAACGTAACCCAGCAACTACTAACACACAACAAACGTACTAACACACAACAAACGTAACCCAGCAACTACTAACACACAACAAACTACTACACACAACAAACGTAACCCAGCAACTACTAACACACAACAAACGTAGCCCAGCAACTACTAACACACAACAAACGTAACCCAGCAACTAATAACACACAACAAACGTAACCCAGCAACTACTAACACAACAAACCTAACCCAGCAACTACTAACACACAACAAACGTAACCCAGCAACTACTAACACACAACAAACGTAACCCAGCAACTACTAACACACGAACACTACAATAAGGAAACACCGATGTTCATATCAGACAAGATGTGGCTACGACTTTGGCAAGAGAAATGAATAAAGAAAATCATTTACTGGCTTACAGAGACCAGACAGATGAAAAGGCATGACATAGGAAGATTTAGTGTATAGATGGACAGATAGAGAGGATCGATCTCAGAAATGGTGGGGACGCAGGAGGAGGCGGTGAAGGTGGTGTTCGATACATGAAGAAAGGGAAGGCTTATGGACAATTAGATGTTGTAGAGGAGAGGGTATTGGTGGGGATGGGGGAGGGGGGTTACCTCAGTCCCTCACTCTCACCCTCTTCCAGGTTGCTGGGGTGGAAGTGGGGTAAGACGTTCAGTCCATCCCAGCCTATTGTTCCCGCCTTCACTTTCTCCATCTTCCTTTATCCATCCATCCACCTATCCACTTCCTCCCTTCCCTAGCCAGAAGAATCCAGATGTGCTGTAAGTGTATAGATTCAGGGTGGTGAGGCATTTCTTTTTCGATAAATTGTTTGACATATCCCATCGGAACACACTTCATGTTCAAACACTACTCGAAACACACGATAAAGGACAAAGTATGAGGCACTTAATAGAGGGTAAGTGAAAAGACTCACAATACATGACACACTTATACTTATCATACACACTTACACTTACTATACACTTATACTTACCATCCACTCGTAATAAGAACATAAGAATGGAGGAAACTGCTGTGGGACTATTGACCGTACTGGGTTACCCTGTTTATACCTAACACATATCGCTCATACGAGTATATCCGTCCAACCTATATTTGAAGTTTCTTTGGTAACTTGTTCTACTCATCCACTACTCTATTTCCGCATCAGTGTTTACCTAACTCACACCCAAATCTAAACCTTCACTATTAGATATGACATGAAATCATTAAAAGTTCTATAATTCTAAATCGACTGTTTCTGTTGGCCAAGGCACCCCAGCGATTAACTGAACTTTAGGCACCCCAGGGACCAACTGAACATTAGGCACCCCAGCGATTAACTGAACTTTAGGCACCCCAGGGACCAACTGAACATTAGGCACCCCAGAGATCAACTGAACTTTAGGCACCCCAGCGATCAACTAAACTTTAGGCACCCCAAAATTTTTCAAGAAATTTCCAAATTTTTCCAAGCATCTCACGCCATTCCTCTAATGTTCCCTCTGTTGGTGAACAATAATATGAACTAATAAAAACACAAGTGCAGATTGTCTGTATTATATTCCTAAAATATGAACAATATTTAACAACTTAAAAACTACTTTTGAACCTCTCTAATCCATCATCTAGTGGTCAGGTGCCACCCGTGGTTCACACAATTTTACAAATGTCGGTTCTCTCACCCGTGGTCGGCAGAGGGTATTCATTGACAGGATAACAGAATCAACTACTGAGCTAATTCATCTACAGTATAGTATGCTACAGAGCAGAGGACCTTCTTAACACACCAAGAGTTTACTAGTGTGTACAGTACAGTACCAGCTGCAGCCACAATTTATTGAGACATTCAAACCACATGAAACAATCAAATTGAAACATTGTTTTAAGAAGATGAGGACCAAATAAAGGCACATGTTCTCTCTTTAACATCGCTTTTATTTAAGCAAATACAACAGCATGTCCAGCATCATAAACTGAGGAAACAATGGAAGAGGTCACATCAGGGCCACGCAGGGCTGCCAATATCTGGAGTCAAACAGGGCTGCCATTATCTGGTGTCAAACAGGGCTGTTAGTATTGGGGCCGGGCAGGGCTGTCAACCTCAGAAGTCAAACAGGGCTTTCGCTATCCGGGTCATGCAGGGCTACTTACATCAGGGACTATACACGGCAGCTAACACAGAACTACCAAACAAATTTACCAGCTACACGTACTGCATAAGTATAACAGGAACACACAGGGCTGCCAACATGGGAGCTAACTACACACAACGGACGACAGGCGTACCATTTACATCAGCGGAAAGGAAACAGGGCTACCAACATCACTCACATTCAACTAATAAGTGATTTTTTGCTTTTTATTTTTACTACATTCATAAACTTTTTTTATATAAATACTCACAGCTCAGAAAATGGTCAGAAAATGGTTTGATTTGGTAACAATGATTACAGAACATATTTTACAGTAGTTTGTAAATCAATACTGAAAATAGAACTGCAATTTTTTTTTACAACGTTCTTTGGATATTTTTCGCTAGTGCAGAAGGTATTAGGAGACCAAGGAGACATACAAGAGGCAGGATAAAGCTAAAACATTGCATTCCTATTCTACTTTAGCTCTAAATTCCTATTAATATATAATATCGTCTGTAATATTAAGGGGAAGTGAAAGTCTGGCATATGTGAGAGAGACACAGAGGAGGGTACTGTACTTGTGGTCGCGGTTTCTCTTAACCCCTTCACTGAATCCGGATGTCTTACGCGAACAACAACAAGGCAAGATATATATGTTTTGCGCACTGTTGTATGGCACTTGCAAGGGGATAGTGGGCGGACAGTCAATAGAGATGGGGGAGAGGGGGCTGAAGTGATGAGTAGGGGCTGATCATACTGAAGAATTGGGCGTCAATCATTTAATATTCATCTGATTCATCCGGATAGAGGGAAGGGCTACCCACACACACACACAACAGGGTGCATAACCACGCTCATAATCTACTATATCTATTCACACTTTACACTGTGATTTAAAAGATGATTATTATTTCATTCTTTCTGACTATATACATTAATATTTTCTCTGCAATATACAATTCTATATATATATAAGTCAGTGTTTGGTAACCTAATGATTGCTTTTTACGACTGGAGGGGAGGGGGGGGGGTCGGATCAGCGAGTCATTTGACGTCTGTACACCTTGATCAATCATTATCATCGAGGACTACTAAATTTAACTACCATTACCCTTCATAAACACCTACCACTAACAACTACTCTGCACTAACATATTGGTAAATCGTATCAAATCTATCTTTATTATCTATCTCTTAAATTGTTATCTAATTTTATCTGTTTTTGCATCAGCCATATTTATTCCCTGAAGTTGCGTTCCGTTTGACCGAAGTAACCATTGGAAGACTCGTAGAAGTTCGGGGACTGTTCACATGGGATGGAGTTTACGCTGTGGTCACAAACTAGCGCCACCTGCCGACAAAGATTAACAAATGGTTAGGGTGGATAGTGTGGTAAAAGGTATGGTAAAGAGTGTGGTAAAGGGTGTGGTAAAGGGTGTGGTAAGGAGTGTGGTAAAGGGTGTGGTAAAGGGTGTGGTAAAGAGTGTGGTAAAGAGTGTGGTAAAGGGTGTGGTAAAGAGTGTGGTAAAGGGTGTGGTAAAGGGTGTGGTAAAGAGTGTGGTAAAGGGTGTGGTAAAGAGTGTGGTAAAGGGTGTGGTAAAGGGTGTGGTAAAGGGTGTGGTAAAGGGTGTGGTAAAGAGACTCTGTTAACAGTGTCTCATCAAACATTCACCACCTCATCAATAAAACACTTACACTCCGCTAACTTACTTCCCCTGGCAGTAGATACCGTCTGGAGAAACAACTTTAAAACCCCACGCTTAGAACATAGGCCTCCCATCATTGCCACACTATCATTATCCAATTCACCTACCTCTTTTTATCTGACCGCAACAGATTAAATCATTACCATCCACTACTGAATTTAATTAGCCTTAAGTACCACGAAACACCGGTACTTCGCCAGGTAATTGCCACAGGTAAACAGTTCAACCACTAGAGAGTAACAGGGGACGGAGGTAGGGGAGGGAGGGGGTGACAGTAGCGCTAGAATGTACCCAACAACGAGGTGGGGACGATCTCTCTCTCTCTCCCTCTCATTTCTACCACTTCTTTCAATCTTCTTTTCCATGTCTCACTTTAATTATTCTTCTCTCGACTTTTCTTTCTACCTCTCTCATCCCCCCCCCTCTCGCTTATTACACTCTTATGGACTTTCACTTTCACAAATAACAAGTTACGTCGTTATTACGTTTAGTCCCGAGAATGTATAAACATCACAACACGCAACAGCTGATTGTGTCATGAAAGTAAACAACGATCAGCTGTTCGACTCACGTGGTGCTGTTAGATCTCTGGGATGTTTATTATTCTTGACGTTATTCTTACTCTCGTTACTTATTAATACTATAATCATTCTTATAATCATCCTTATCATCTAGTATTTATTTTATAGCTTATTTGATCATCCGCAGCAGCCATCATCCGTCTTTATCAACATTTACACTCGACTAGATGCTCAACTGACTAATGCGAGATTAACTTTCAACTGTCTACTGGGTTTTCTTTCGTTCTTTCTTTCTTTTATTTTATATCTTAGGATTTTATTATCTTTTTTTCCTATTTTTCTATTTAAACAAGTCATTCTAGTGTAACATTAGCTTTCTATTGTTCTCTCTCTCTCTCTCTCATCCAGAACTACTTTTACATATTTTCATCTACTGTAAAGATTCAGTATATATAACCAGTATTTAGGTTACAGCCAGAGATCAGAATATAGCCAACGAATATAGCCAGTGATCAGAATATAGCCAATACTCAGGATATAGCCAAAGAATTATAACTAAAAATATAGCCAGCACTCAAATACAGCTTGTGACTGGTATTAAAAATTTAATTCGTCTATACCACCAGGAAAATATATGTAAACAGCAACTGGTACGGCTCTTTGGACAGAATTCGAACCCCATGTCTCGCAGTTATGAAATATCTAGATTCGAGGGGCAATAGAATCCCCATGAAACAGCTGATACTGAAAAGAATTTGAACTTAAAAAAAATTCTAGCGACCTGAAATTAAACAATTATCATAAAAGAGAGTGGTTGTTGAGCCTATCTCTCGCAGTGAAGTAAAATGATACATTCTTGATCCTGAGACGTCAATCGAACACGAGTCGCAAGGTGGTCGAGTCAAGTGGTTTAATTGACACCTAGCAATGTGGTCTCGAGTGTCACCCAGACATTACCATTGCCATAATTAAGGTCTTGATCTTGAGGACTTCTTGAGGACGAAAACTGTTCTTGATTTCGTCGCTTCTCTTGGCAACATTCAGAAACATTATGAGAGTTTCTAACATTTGGGAACATTGTGACAAATTCTGACATCTTGAAGTAATCTCGGAAATGTTTATACTTAGGAGTATATATTAAATTTTGAAACGTTTTCAATAATTTCTAACATTCTGGATCATTCATACATTCAAATTTATGGAAATGGTAACAGTATACCTTCAACATTTAAAAGCGGCTGCACATATACTTCAACAATGTGCCGCACTCTCAGATGGCGGGACGAAAAAGTGGTCCAACATCTTTTTACTAAAGGGAGGGTCAGTTTACGTTCCTTTCTCCAGCATCCATCACTCTCACTTCCTGAGGCCCGTGACCTTGTTGAAGAGATTTTGCACATCTTCTCAGCCGACCCACTGACCTACCTCAGGCTAACCTGCCCCAACCGCTGACAACCCTAAACCGGTTTGGTGAGGCCGCAGGCGAAGGGTAACCGACCCCCACACCCTCACTCACTCCGTTATAACAGCGTGGGGGGAATTGTACAAGGTAAGCATCCCTTGCTGAAAACTTACGGCACTTTTAGGGTTCGCGTGATGCCGTGGGTTGTTAAACAGCCTCGCAGAACTGACAAGGATTTTTTTTGTACTGATTTCCACGTCTGATGACTTTGTTGCATAGCGGAAGACGGAATATTACATAGAGATGCATAGATAGATAACTTTCTTACGTAACACACTTCAGCTTATTTCAATTGGTTTTCTTTTGTTCATAATCTAGAAAAAATGATTCATGTTTATCCAAATTTTAGTCACTAGAACTTTCATGGTCCATCTAACTTCATCGGTAGTGAAGAATCTGCACCGCAGATTATATCACCTAAGATTAACCACGCTAACGCTAACCTAACCTCATCTCGCTAACAGCACTAGACTGGTTAATCCTAAGGTGAAATAGCCTACTAGTCGTTCTCCACTCAGAACTCATCCTTGCTGACTTTCCCTGACCTGTCCTGACACGGCCTTCGAAGTAAATCACTCGCCTGGTCCTATACAGACCAGTAAAGTGATCTGACTTGACTTTTTTGACATGGAACTTCTTGACCTTACTTACCTGCACACTGACCTATGACTTGACTTTTTCGTGACACAGAGACCTTCCCTAACCCTGCGACCTTTGACCGGACTCTTTCTTCCTGTCCTGACCTTTGGAGTGGCAGTTTTTTCCCTGACCGTCAATCTGATCCTTCCCAACTTGTGACCTAAGATTTCCATTTTTCTCCTTGACCTTTGACTTGATCCCGGGGATACTGACCTGGTTGAAGACTGCACCTTGACCGCAGATGAAGGACCACATACGAGTGCGGAAGAACTGCTCAGCGTCCAGGTAAGGATAACACACGTGGAACACTCGACACTCGTTGTTGGTATCCGCGTAGTAACCGTAGGGCAGCCCGTCACAGCTGGGGGAGACAGGAGGGTGTTAGTGGTGACCGTCACAGCTGGGGGAGACAGGAGGGTGTTAGTGGTGACCGTCACAGCTGGGGGAGACAGGAGGGTGTTAGTGGTGACCGTCACAGCTGGAGACAGGAGGGTGTTAGTGGTGACCCCGTGACAGCAGCTGGGGGAGACAGGAGGGTGTTAGTGGTGACCGTCACAGCTGGAGACAGGAGGTGTTAGTGGTGACCGTCACAGCTGGGGGAGACAGGAGGGTGTTAGTGGTGACCGTCACAGCTGGGGGAGACAGGAGGGTGTTAGTGGTGACCGTCACAGCTGGGGGAGACAGGAGGGTGTTAGTGGTGACCGTCACAGCTGGGGGAGACAGGAGGGTGTTAGTGGTGACCGTCACAGCTGGGGGAGACAGGAGGGTGTTAGTGGTGACCGTCACAGCTGGGGGAGACAGGAGGGTGTTAGTGGTGACCGTCACAGCTGGGGGAGACAGGAGGGTGTTAGTGGTGACCGTCACAGCTGGGGGAGACAGGAGGGTGTTAGTGGTGACCGTCACAGCTGGGGAGATATGGGGGATGATAGAGGTGAACGTCACAGCTGGGGGAAATGAAGATATCTGTAAGGAGAGGCAGGAATATCAGGTGAGGGGTCTATGTGGTGTTATGAGACCAAACGTCATTTTTGTTTCACAGAAGGAGAAAAATTTATCTTAGTTCCTCCATTGTTATATTCTTATGCGATATTTTGTCTGTCAATGATGGTGGTGATGACTTGTTTCAGTAGACATAAGGACTGACATTTTTTGTCCCAGTGAGATCTTATCCCAGTGCGTCGAGATAGTGGTGTTTTTTTTCTACACGAGAGGCCTTACTTCCTCATGGCCAGGCAACCTTCAGAAGGGCGTGGACTAAACGTGGCTGAACAATGAACAAAACACCACCGCCTACAGTTATGGGGTCTCGCTAAGGAGGAATTCGTGTAGTGGAATATATCTTTTATGTGGATAGGTGGAGGGCGTTGGGTGCAGGTGGACGGGACGAATGTATGAAGAATGGATAGATGTAGATGGAGAGGTGGAGTGTGAGAGGAAGAATGGATGGCTAGGAGGTAAGTTTAACATGTAAAGATGGATAGTTAAGTGGAGGTGGATTGGTTAGGATTACGGGAGTGGATAAGTGGATGTGGGATAGATAGAAAGAGTGCATTTGTGATAAACACAGAGGCCAGGCGACTGAGTGTCAAACATTTCCACCAAGTAGTTTGTCTGGTGAGGACTGTGTGTGTGTGTGTGTGTGTGTGTGTGTGTGTGTGTGTGTGTAGGTCTAGGGACAGGAAAGAACTACATAGAATGTCTGTTAAATCCCCTTTCCATTCTCCCTCCCATCCCTTTTCCATTCAACTCCCCCATTCCACAGCTGGTAGTCACAGGATGGGTTAGGGGTGGGGGGTGGGGATGGGTAGGAGGGCCGGAAAAAGATGAGAAACATTCAGACTGAGAGAGAGCATGTACTGGGACACGTGGTGATAGGGGAAACGTGATGGTGATGGTGAAAGTGATGGTGAAAGTGATGGTGAAGATGACGTCACTCCACCTCACCTAAACTAACTTGGGTTAAATAGACAAAAACCTTCACCTGTAATAACGTAATCAATTTCTCACTATTCTGAATACCTTCCTAACTGCTAAATCACCTGGACATAATTCTACATAAAAAAAATTCAAACTACTACAAAATACAAACAAACTACTATATATAATTTATGTTAGTCTTTAGTTAGTTTCGCCATGCTGTAGAAAAAGAAATAGAAAATATCAGTCTGTGAGGAAATGTAAAAATTTATTGAATACGGAATTGGTTAAGGAATAGCTTGAGTGCTTCGGAGAGAGAGAGAGAGAGAGAGAGAGAGAGAGAGAGAGAGAGAGAGAGAGAAGGCACACACATACTATCTCAGAATACATAGAAGGAACACTATTAGAAAGGTATCCCCCCCAAAAAAAAAAAACATTCACAGGCCAAATTACTTATTGGTGAAATCGTCAAGACCACAAAGACCATAACAAATGCATAGCAGCTGACAGTGAGGCTTTATGACTGATAACTAACAAGGAGAGGAACTAAATAACAGAGTGGTAGAGGTGACAGGTTACAAGTCGTGGTTTTTTGCTTGACGTGGTTGACAAAGTGACGATGGAAATAATTTGATAGTGTGGGAGGACCTTGGGGACTAGTTTCTCTCTCTCTCTCTCTCTCTCTCTCTCCTGATGTAACAAGAGAGACAACTAAAGGTTTCCGAAGATCAAACTCTCCCGTGAAAACAAAGGGGAATTATAGCTAATATGTATAATCCTAAAATATAAGAGTAAATTAGATAAAAAGTAAAGTGAAAGTATCCTATAATTATTTTTCGTCTAATGAACCACTCTAATCTATTGGGTGATATTATAAAGCTTTATCATTCTAGTATATCAGTGACTCGATAAAACCTGTCAGCTCATGCAGATCAGAGGAAGCAAACAGTGTCCAGTGCAGGGATCTAAAAACCACAGCAGTCACTTACCTTAGCAGCCACTCCATTAAAACACTCTTGGTTTAAATGGGTATTGTAGGTAAACTCTATGTGTATGAGAGAAGAGTCCTTACGGTAATGTGGTTGGTGGTGATGCGTCTGTCGTGGAGGTGAGACTTAACCAGGAGTGTCGTTGTAATCATGGAAGAGTATAATCGTCGTGTCTTGAAGTTCTACCGTTTGATTTTATATTCATTGTCGTTTATAGCATGATTATATATCTTGGGATGCATTTTTCGTATTATTTTGTCGTTCAGAATCTACATATTTCACTTAGTTTTCAACTCAACGTCTTCCGTCCCTAAGTCGTTTACATCATTCCTGTCGTTCTAAGTTTATTATCACCTACTTTCCCTCTCGTTGTCGTCCGTCTAGAGCTGCCTATTTTGACTCTGTCGTGTTGTCCGTCGTTGTTAGCCCTGGAGTCGTGGTAGTTGGGATTGTCGTGGTGTTTTGTCGTAGTTCTCGTCGTGTTGGGTCAGCCGTGATCGCGTCTCTACCTGTAAAGCTTCACACAACTAGTAACTATCAAAATAAATACAACTAGATGAAATTAAGAAATAATAGCAATAAACATAAATAATTATAACTAGCAGCTGGTATTTAACTAAGGGGAGTCTAAGGAGTCTTTGTTAACTATCCCAAAGGTAACTGTGACCCCTACTACTTGACCTCAGCACCTGCAGATGACCTTGTGTCTTGGGATGTCAAAAACAAGCCTGGTGCACTCAATTGTTTTTCTAGCTTTGGTTTATACAAGAGTTTTAATTCCACTTTAACAATCTGAAGGAAAAACATTGAAAAATAATAACAAAATCTTATAACTTATTAGGGTAAAAATAACTTAAAAACTGATAACATTAATCTAAATTATCTACCAAAAACCCCCCCCAATATTTGAGTCTTGTTTGTGATGTTTGTCAGTGTCATATTCCACCCCCCTTAGCCTGTCAAATGAGCCTATTCACGGACAGCACCCTGCCTTATGGCCCTCTAGCTGAAGGCACAGTCTCCTTGAGTCCTTAGCACTATCTTGACCCCGTGTCCTTGTCCTTGTACATTCATATATGCAAAAAAAAATTAGCATGAGTATGAATAGCCTTAATCAGCTTGTCACTGGGAACAAATGAGTTGGTCTGACTTGCTTATCCTTGTCATGCAAAAAACGTCCTGCATGATGTATAACTCCGAGGTTCTTGTGCCTTGTAAGCCCTGCATCATGTATAACTCCGAGGTTCTTGTGCCTTGTAAGCTTTTGGTGTTTGAGTTTTATAATATTTAGTTTACTATTATTAAACAAGTACTGTAGTTTGTTTTAATTATATTTTCATAATTTTTTTTGTATTATTTCTATTGTTGTTGTTCAATATCAGAACTTTTTCGAGTCAAACCATACGTCACTTGTGTAATTCCTCAAGTATTGTCTAAATGCCATCTAAACTATCTAATTTTTCTGTTTACGTGAGGATCTTTAGTCCTGAGGTGAGAATAATCTAATACCTTTACAACTCTCCCAACATGACTCACCTGAAGCCGGTGACGATGGGGCCTCCATTGATGACGGTGGCGTTGGAGGGCAGCTCGTAGTCCGTGGGGGAGGAGTCAGCCCTCGCGGTGGCCAGGAGACACGCGCTAGCTACCACCACCACCACACCTGCCACATAACCAACACACACCTTGAGTTATGATATGTTAGGGTATATAAAAAGGGAGTATAAGGTATATCAGGTGATGTCACAGGAAGGGAAATTTTGTGTTAGGTGATTACCTCTCATTTCAGGGTACGTCAAGGTGTGTGTGTAAGGTGTACAGAGATGTGTAGGACTCTCAAAATGTAAAGAACTTATCAGGACATCACAACACACCTTGGCTGTACAGGATGTTTCACGACCATCAAACACAAATACATATTCATAATTGTTTTAAGATTATAAATTAAGTTGTAGGATTCTCTTGACGTCAGGTAAGAAACCATTCGAAGGTCAATACAGGTAGACGGTGTTCACTTTCGGTTTCAGCGTGTCCGGCCAAGTGAAGAACAGGTTTGGACGGCGTCATGGACCTTTTGGGGCCAAAAACAAGTTTTTAATCGACCAAAAGTATTTAGAGTTAACTAGGGTCAAGTTAAAAGTTATGACTAAAGTTAGGTCAGAAACCTCATTGTAAGGTGAAAGGTCAACAAGGGTAGGACGTGCTAGGTCATGGCTTCTTGAGTTTTTGCGACAGGGTAGTGACCGCAAACATAAGGTCTCGTCAGCGCCTCCTGTGATAGCTGGAGGGGTGGGGGGGTAGGATGTAGACCCCGGGCTATGACGAGTCGCAGTGATTGGGCAGAGAACACGGAGGGATAAGTAGCAAGAGGAGAGAGAAAGAAAACATGTTAATTTAATCTGCCGAAGGGGAGATGAAAAAAAAAACACAAAAACCTCCAATTATATCATACACTTTTGTCACACGTATCACGGCGAGAGACTGTAATGCGTCTAACAAAATTTGACATCACCTAAAAACTGTGAGAACTGGAAGGGTCTTGTGTTCGCATGGAGGTGAGTCTTGTTGTTCTTTAAGTCTGAGACAAGACGTGACTAGAGGTTGAGGCTCGCAATACCTGCCAACCTTCACACCGCCTCACATTGTTGCCGGAACGATGTCGACGCAAAAATAACTCGTGATCACGTGAACAGAGATCCTTGGTACTTTAGCTGCCTGAGGGCGCTTGCTGGGCTGCCTGGTGAAGCTGATAGCTGGGGGGTGTGGGGAGTGTGTGAGGGAGGGTGGGGTGTGTGAGGGAGAGTAGGGAATGTGAGGGTATGTGGGGGGTTTGTGTAAGGGAGAGTAGGGTATGTGTGGAAGGGTGTGAGGGTGGATGGGGTATGTGTGGGTGGTGATGACGAGGGAGAAACACAATCACACCCTCAACCTCACACGACATACATCAGTTAGAGCATCCGCGAGGGAGGTCAGGAGCAGAGATGGGGTTGGTTTATCGACTCTATCTCAATGTGGGAAAGGATCGATCACCCTCCTCCTCCTCCCCCTCCTATCATCCTCACACGTCAGGGGGAACCGCAGCGTCACCTTGGCGTGTTGGCTTCGTCTACCTTGTCATTTTTGCCGGGTGGGAGGACATAATGGGTTTTCCACGCTGCTGTGTAGGGAGACCTTGGCTAAGCATGTCGTTGTGCTCGTCTTTATATCGATTAAATTCAACCTACTTTTTCGTCGTTTTAATTCAGTGAAATAATTTTTTTTATGTGACAATACGTTTTCTTTACTATTTTTTTTATATTATCTACTAATAGCAATAAAATATTTCCTTATATTCTCATCTATAAAACGGATCTATAATATCTATTGATTTATTATTTCGTTATCTAAAGAAATGTAATTAATGACCATATATCTATTTTACAGATCTGAAAAGAATATATCTACTGAATCATTATAAATTTATTTCATATAGATTTTTAAAAGCCTTTTCGATGTAGGTATATTCCATTATATTCATGAAGACTACAATGTTAATTTTCTATTATGAAAATATTATCTTATATTTTCTGATGGTGATTGTTTCTTAAAAATCCCCCTCCTCCCTCCCCCCCCCCTCTCTCTCTTTATTGGTATGTATCCGAGATCGATACTATATACCTACATATCTAATAGGATTTCTGCCTCTACTTTACTTCATTGTTTATATGCCTGTCTTTTCTGACGCTCTCACAGACAACTGACCATCGTCCAGTCAAGACCACACATTGTATAAATGTTTAACACGATGGTATTAACACAATAATAATGGAGCCACGAAAAAGCCCCACGATCACACGCAAATAATCATACTTACGGAGCCAAGTACGTGTGAGTATTTAGCTGTCACAGGACTAAGCAGTGAGGATGGTTAGACTATAAGAACGTTTTGAAGTTTACTATACGTGAATATTCAATACAAACAGTGTCTAGATCAATTAGGGGTAACGGTTACGGTGAAAAGTTTGAGACAAGGTATATCAACAACAGTGAAAGTGTACAGGGTCAGTGGATACTACTAACAGGTCATACATCGTTTACAGAATACAGCCTCCCAGTGCATGTGAATTATTGGTGTGACAGAGCAAAGAACAAGTGGATATTATAGAGTCAAGAACCCCAGTCAGTGTGAATGATGACTGGTAGCGTTGCCATTGTGCCTCAGTGTTTATTGAATGATAATAAAACTATGAGATGAAGATGAACTGGACCTGTGGCCATTCCATACTATTAATACTAATACACACACACACACACATGTATATAATTTTCATAGAACTTTCCCTTTCACTTTCTTTATTTTGACTTTGGCAAAAATGGTTAGTGTTATAAAAAAGACCACGAACAGAATAGCCAAAGAGTGTATTTTTTCTAGGTAACACGAGCTAAACCACACCTAACTTAACTAAATAAAAACTACCTTACGATCCTTACATTTGGTTAGATTAAGTTCGTATTGTCTACTTAATAAAAAAAAAAACTCTCTAGAGGTCTTATTTGCGGTACTTCCCCAACATTGGACATCTTGGCATCAAAACAATGACCTTCGTTAACATCCGCCTCCAGCTTCACCTCCGCCACAAGGGATCATAATATGAGTTGGTTAATTGTGGTTTCGTTTCTCACAAGTTTCCTAAAGTATATACTGAACACATCTTAAACAAAGAAAAAAAAGATTGTCGATGAAATTATTATGATATTATATTTTACTGAGTTAAAAGTTAAGTCTCTAAATGTTGAATTCGTATTTCAGTGTTGGATGTAAAACTTTGTGTTGTCTGAGTGGTATTATTTTCTCCAATACTTAACGCGAGTTGCTATCTCTCTCTTTCTCTTACTCTGTCACGTTATCTCTTTCTCTCATTCACCAAGAAAATATCTAATCTATTCGGAAAAACTCTCTCTAGAATTATAACCAAGACCCCGAGAGACATCGAGAGCACAACTAGTATCTAGAAATAGTCGTAGTGAGTTAGTCTATGGTCCGAGTGGATTATATAGCAAACAAGTTAATTTCTAGATGGATAAGCACTTAGTGGCCTAATAAAACCATTTAGAAGAAAAACAAATTTTCTCGAGGAAGGATGAACACTGTCCAGGCAGGATGAACACTCTAGAGGAAGGAAGAACACTCTAGAGGCAGGATGAACACTCTACAGGCAGGATGAACACTCTAGAGGAAGGATGAACACTCTAGAGGAAGGATGAACACTCTAGAGGAAGGATGAACAGTCTAGAGGAAGGATGAACACTCTAAATGCAGGATGAACATTCTCGAGGAAGGATGAACACTCTAGAGGAAGGATGAACGCTTTACAAGCAGGATGAAGACTCTAGATGAAGGCTAAACACTCTAGAGGAAGGATGAACACTCTAGAGGCAGGATGAACACTCTAGAGGCAGGATGAACACTCTAGAGGAACGCTGAACACTCTAGAGGCAGGATGAGCACTCTAGAAGTAGGATGAACACTCTAGAGGTAGGATGAACACTTTAGAGGTAGGATGAACACTCTAGAGGTAGGATGAACACTCTAGAGGTAGGATGAACACTCTAGAGCTAGGATGAACACTCTAGAGGTAGGATGAACACTCTAGAGGTAGGATGAACACTCTAGAAGTAGACAGAGTTACATAGAAATACTCCAAGTCACATAAAAATGACTGAGTCGTCTAGAGGTAAGCAGACTTATCTAGAAATAGGTAGAGTCTTGAAGGAATAAAATAGTGTGAGATCTCTAGGGACAGAAGGATTAACTTAAATACTATTTTATATTCTTCTAGAATCGGACAAGTTGATCTAGACGGGAAGCAAGTTGTCTAGTAAGAGGTAAACTGTCTGTAAGTTCTTCAGTATGTCGGAAGTGTAATAGATTACTCTTCACTTCAGCTTAACTCCGTCTATGTCACGCGAAAGTCGGTCACTGATTCTGCTCGCGAGGAAACTGAGTCTATTTTCATTTGTTTTTCTTAAGATTTTCTGGATATATAAATAAAATCCAAAGCGCAGTAGACAAAAACAATGACACTCACTTGCACAGAAAAACTTGGCCATATCGCCGCTAGAGAGGGTGTTGGAGGAGGAGAGGGAAGATAAGTTTAAATATTTCCCGAGAAGCTGGCACACAACTTGGCGCGTCACGGGATAACTTATGCGGACGTTCTTTCTGAATTTTCTTTCTCTCTGGCGTAATATTATCTCCGTGTACAGGGGTCGGGTGGGAGCAGGAGACGTTGGAGGGGGGCGCTGCTGATGGTGCTGGACTGCTGCTGGTGCTGTTGGCTCGGTGAAGGTAAGGATCGGACTGTTACTCTGCCGCCTTCCCGCCCGCCATTTATACTCCCCCCTTCACGTCGCCGATCCCGGGCCATGCGGTCCTTTCATCCTAATTCTCGTAACTTTTATTTTTCTACTCTTGTACGACCTTAGTCTAGTTACCTGAGAGTGCTTATATTATAGCTATACTAAAATCCTTCCAGTTTATGCTGGAATAATAGATAAAAACTATTATTTTCTATCAATAAATGCTTTTTTTCCAGACCTTTCACGCGTCGACTGTCACCTTGAAATCCTTCGCCCAGTTCCCGCGGGGATTGTAACAAGCTCGCCTTCATGAAAGAATAAAAACTAACAATCCGTTGAGGGATGTAATCACCGCTGCTTGTAATCATCTGGGAAGATAATAACAGCCTCCTCATAATGCCTGGCTAACGACCTGATGACCTTGTTACAGCTGAGGAGACTTAGTAGTGCCACCATTGCCCTGAGGGGTCCTCTTCCCTGTGTAGCCCGTGGGGGGTAGGGGGGTGTCCTTCAGCTTTGTAAAGACGATTAAATGTATTATTATTATTATTATTATTATTATTATTATTATTATTATTATTATTATTATTATTATTATTATTATTATCATTATTATTATTATTATTATTATTATTATTATTATTATCATTATTACATTCATTCTTTCTTCAAGATATTTGTTTAAAAAATTTTCATGACCAGTTTTGTGCTTATATCTTTTATTCTTTCTATTTACAAATTTAATTATCATTTATATTTTTTACTAAACATAAGAGGACGATAAACATAGTTACCTTTAAATAATTATTATTTTGTTGTATTATTAACAGTATTACACCAATCATTTAGGAAATGTTTGCATGTATATAAGCGCGCACGAGCGGGTGTGTGTGTGTGTGTGTGTGTGTGTGTGTGTGTGTGTGTGTGTGTGTGTGTGTGTGTGTGTGTGTGTGTGCTTCAGTGGGCGGTAGTCCTGTCTCACTGGTATAGGAGTTAAGGACGTTTGAGTGGTGCTAAGTCCTAATAGCTCTTTGATTAATAGTCCACTTTCCTACTAGGCCCTTGTGTTAACAGGTTACAGCTCTAAGAAGAAGAAGAACAAGAAGAAGAAGAAGAAGAACAACAACAACAACAACAACAACAAGAGACAACAACAACAACAACAAGAGACAACGCTGTAAAGACGGAACATATGACTTAATAAACCTCACAACAAACTGGTCAGATTATAGCAACACACAGAAAATAATTGACTCGCGGAAATAATCAGGGAAGAACTTATATACATACAATAATTAAGGTGATAATTACACTATGACACCTGTGTTAAATTTAGATATTCGGCGGAGTTTTATATTAGCGTCGTCAGAGACAGGTATTTAATGGGAGTCATAAATTTCGCGTAAATAGGGTCACAGGGTCAAAGGTCAGGGTCAAATTGGCCTTATTCACGGTATATTATATATTTATAAAGCCAGTTCATTGTATAACAGGGCTTTTGAATTTTAATAAATAATGTATATGATTTTTTATTGTCTTATTTGTATTTTTAGTTATCATTTAGCAGCATACCCGTTCCCATATCCGTACCTATACCCGTACCCATACCCGTACCCATACCTGTACCCATACCCATACCCATATCCATACCCGTACCCATACCCATACCCGTACCCATACCTGTACCCATACCCATACCCATACCCATACCCGTACCCATACCCATACCCGTACCCATACCTACCCATACCCGTACCCATACCCATACCTGTACCCATACCCATACCCGTACCCATACCTGTACCCATACCCGTACCCATATACCCATACCTGTACCCATACCCGTACCCGTACCCATATCCATACCCATACCCATACCCACCCGTACCCATACCCATACCCATGCCATACCCATACCCATAGTACCCATACCCATACCCATACCCATACCCGTACCCATACCCGTACCCATACCCGTACCCGTCGTACCTGTATTAATCAGCAAGACCCGGTACTGTAAGTGTTGTTTACTACTCAACTCTAACTATGGGGGTCACACGTACGATAGTTAGCAGGAGGAGGAAGAAGAAGAGGAGGAGGAAGAGCAGGAGGGAGGAGGAGGAAGGAGGAGGAGGAAGATGGAGGAAGAGGAGGAGCAGGAAGAGGAAGAGGAGGAGGAAGAGCAGGAAGAGGAAGAGGAGGAGGAAGAGTAGGAGGAGGAAGATGGAAAGGAAGAGGAGGAGCAGGAAGAGGAAGAGGAGGAGGAAGAGCAGGAAGAGGAAGATGAAGAGGAGGAGGAAGAGCAGGAAGAAGAGGAGGAAGAGGAGATATACAAGAAAAAACAAATGTAGACGCCATACATGGAAGCCTGGGATTATATGTATTCATGGGCTTAATTACTGGACAGAATCTTGTATTGTTGAACCCACGCCCACGATTATACCCACGCCCACGCTTATACCCACGCCCACGCCCACACACATATGCATCCCTCTCTCACGTCCTTCATCTTAGCCCACGGCCGTATACCCAAGTCTATTAACCTTGTAGTGTTGGCATGGTTCTCTTACACCCACATCCTCATCTACATCCACACCTACCCACAAACATACACCCACACTTACACCCACATCCTCATCTACATCCATACCTACCCACAAAAATACACCCACACTTACACCCACATCTGTACTTACACTGAAATGAATATCTGAAAAATTAACAGATATTATTTTACATCCTGATTCATTTCTCTGTTTATCATTCTTACGTCACAAAACTTTTCGAGTAAACATAAATATTTCTACTGTAATATTATATCAAAAGTTTATCTATGTTAAATAAATGATTATATTTAGTTTATGTGACATGTGTTCCAATAATGTTACTTGAGTCAGAATTATAGACGGAGATAAAAAGATAATTATACTGTTTTTATTATCAAGATGTTATGTGATTGTGATGTTGACAGATGTTTGAATACACGTCACTTAGAGGGATGTTATTTGGCAGCTGCATTCACGATTTTACCAACTGATGTTATAATGGTAATTTTAAACGGTAGAAAGAGGTAATTTATTTATTTTTAATTGCTGTTTAGGTGTTTAAAAACCTTATTTATTACTGATTATAATTATACAACAACAACAGTTAATTAAGATAGATTAAATAGATATAATTTCTATACATTTCCCACCAATTCGAATTCACAATGTGTACAGAAAACCAAATTAATATGGTAAATGGTTCAACGAGAAGGTATTTCGTACACGTCACCTTTCATCATTGTTCAAAGATTCGAGGCTTAGATTCTTAACTAAACAAAGGTAGATGAATCTTATATGAATTACCTTTACTCCCAGTTCAATATTTTGGATTTCGAATTTCTGTCGTTCAATTTACCAGATTCTATGTCGTTTAAGTGCTGGTTCACGTCTAACAAAGGTATGTGTGTGTGTGTGTGTGTGTGTCAGAGGACTGCGGGAGGGACCTTGAAGCTGGGGTGCCCTCATTTTATGTTCCTCTAATAGTTTCTCATTTTTGTGTTTTTATTCTTTTTTATCATCTTTACTGTTATCTTTTTTTTACAACTACCATCTTGGTATTTGTGAACAACTGTCTTTTATTCCATTGTTATTTCTGTTATTGTTATTATTTACATGTGCGTGAAACTATACAACTTCAGGTAGGAGAACCGTTCACTACAGAGCTCCTCCAGTCTGAACAAGAATACGTACAGCACTTAATCTCTGAAGGCAAGATAGCTGATATACAAATGCTGTAGCCCCACTTCACATCAAGTACCTAAGCAAACTTCTATATACCGACCTAAACAATGTACTATATTCTGTAACACTCAATGTCATAATTTCCTGACCACTGGGGGTACGATAAGCACCCTTTGTGGCCTCTACTCTGTAATCCTTTTTGTTCTAAAGCTCACAGGATACCTACGGGGTGCAAAATAAACTAGCTGCTGTCCTAGAGAAAGGGGGAATCAATATTAAAACTATG